TGTGAAGTGTTTTGTTGTGTCTTTTAACCTTATATATTGTGGATTCAACAGTTCAAAGCTTTATCTGTCTCTGCTTATTCAGATAAATATCTTCATCCCCACCCACCATGCAACTTCCTCTCCATATCTTTATATGTGTTAAGTTTTCAGTTCTTCCTGGCATGTGGGATTTGCTGTAAACTTCAATATTTCTTTTCCAACTTGTTCCTTTAGTTTAATATTTTCCCTGTTCCTCACGTGGTAGGCATAGACTGTATTTAAGTTGGTCAAGCTTGGATTTTGAGTCCCCAGATTTTTGTTTGTATAAGGTAATTGAAAATTCTTTGTTTTCTGTTAGCATTTGGCTGCTTTAGAGACCATATTTTCTATCAGTTGAGTAGAGCTTTGTGATTTTCTTAATCCCATGTGGTGTTCATGTTTGTAATTGGCAGGTGCTTATGAACGTATGGTAATTCTAGCAGAAGAATTAATCAATTAATTGCCAACTTTCTTAGGCAAGGAGTATTCTTGATTCCGGGCCTTGCAATAAAGAAATGACTAGAAGACTGCTGTTGTTGCTTTTTTGTATGTGGGTGCGTATGGAAGTCATGGAGGGAGCCGGAAAAGATGAAAATTCTTCTTCAATACTTCGGTCCGTGAATATTGGAGCTTTATTTACTGTTGATTCAGTTATTGGGAGGGCTGCGGGGCCTGCAATTGCGGCTGCAGTTGATGATGTTAATTCTGATCCAACTATTCTTCCTGGGACAAAATTGAACTCTGTTATCCATGACACGAATTGCAGCGGATTTCTTGGAACTGTGGAAGGTAATTTCTAAACTCAACGCCCTAATTTATTCAGAGGAAACTGAGTTAAGCATTTATTTTAGTTTTAGGAATCAGAAAACCAACAGTATTCTTACTTGAATAAAGAAATGAGTTAAATTATGTTTATGGATTGAATTTCTGGATTCCAATGTCCATCGCTTAAAGCATCTAAGTGTTCAGACATATTAATCTGCCTTTACGAATTTAGGTTTCTGAGTATGATTGTACTTCTCTTAAGTATTTTGCCTTTGTTGTTTATCGTACCCAAGAGACTGTACGGTTGATCACATGTTTTGAATGAAGCATACTGTCCTATGGTCGCTGAAGGACAAGTCACATGATTATTATGATTTTTTCATTAGTAATCTTTTTATGTTTCCTACTTTAGTGACATCCTATGTGTCCTTATTAATTACTTTGATGTGTTTCAAATCTGCAGTTTCTATCTTCTGTGCCCCAAAAATATGGGTGATTGATCTGGCTCTATAGTTATAGATAGTCCAAGTATCAAATGAATGATAAAGGTTGATGTTTGTAACTATAGTGGAACCATTGAATTAGCATCATCATCTAAGTTAATATCGCCCCTGAATTTTGTGTCTGCACGGTGCAATCTTCTAAACAGTGCAACTATCTGTGGCTACCGTCAACTTTATAAAATGGAATCTTAAATATGTAAAGAATTAGGTACCATTACTAGTGAAGTAACTCTGTTTTGCTTCAATATCCCTCTATAAAAAGATTAGAAAGATGAAATTTTTGATGGGAGTGTCCTTACGATGTAGCTTTGCAGCTGATGGAAAATGAAGTGGTTGCAGCAATTGGTCCACAATCCTCTGGCATAGCTCATGTGATCTCCCATGTTGTCAATGAACTCAACGTACCACTTCTGTCATTTGCAGCAACAGATCCCACTCTCTCTTCAATGCAGTACCCATATTTCCTCCGCACAACACAGAGTGACCTTTATCAGATGTATGCAGTTGCTGATTTGATTGATTATTATGGATGGAGGGATGTCATCGCTGTCTATGTAGATGATGATTATGGAAGAAGCGGGATTTCTGTATTGGGTGATGCCCTGGCAAAAAAGCGTGCCAAGATATCTTACAAGGCAGCCTTCACTCCTGGAGCCTCCATAAGCACAATTAATGATTTGTTAGTTAGTGCAAATCTGATGGAATCTCGGATTTTTGTTGTACATGTCAATCCAGATTCTGGCTTGACAATATTTTCTGTTGCTAAGAGTCTTGGGATGACAGGCAAGGGCTATGTTTGGATCACCACAGATTGGCTCCCTTCTCTTTTAGATTCAACAGAACCAGTTGACCTTGACAAAATGAACCTCTTACAAGGTGTTGTTGCTCTTCGCCATCACACCCCAGATACTGATGTTAAGAAGAAATTCATGTCCAGGTGGAACAACCTCAAATACAAAGAGAGTGGTCCTGCAGGTTTTAATTCTTATGCACTCTACGCTTATGATTCTGTCTGGTTAGCTGCACGTGCTCTTGATACTTACTTAAATGAAGGTGGAAATATATCTTTCTCTGATGACCCAAGGTTGAATGACACAAGTGGAAGCAGGCTGAACTTATCGTCCCTCCGCATTTTTGATGGAGGGCAACGATATCTCCAAACTTTGATGAGGACTAATTTTACAGGTCTAAGTGGTGAGGTTAGATTTGGTCCAGATAAGAATCTAGTTCATCCAGCATATGATGTTCTTAATGTTGGTGGAACCGGTATGCGCAGAATCGGTTATTGGTCAAATTATTCTGGTCTCTCAGTTGTTGCTCCAGAAATCTTGTATACAAAGCCTCCCAATACTTCTACTAGTAATCAACATCTTTACAGTGTAATTTGGCCTGGCGAAGTTGCGACAACACCTCAGGGATGGGTATTCCCTAACAATGGACGACCATTAAGGATTGCTGTGCCATACCGAGTAAGTTATACAGAATTTTTGGCTAAAGACAGTCACTCCCCTGGGGTGAAAGGATACTGTATTGATGTCTTTGAAGCTGCTGTAAACTTGCTCCCTTATCCTGTCCCACACACCTATATATTGTATGGAGATGGTAAGAGGAACCCTGATTACAATGATCTGGTGCAGCAAGTTGCGCTAAATGTGAGTATCCTGCTCCATACTTTTGACTTCAATTGAGTGGTACTTATTTCTGGATAGCTCAATTCTGGTATACTGAGGATGGAAAATTAGCTTTGATTGAAAATAAACTTGCACATGTGTAGACATTAGTATATATTCTTTTGTAGGAGTTCTTGAACTAGGTTATGTGATAATTTGTTGGGGCTGCTGTTGGCTTTCAGTCCAGTAGGTGCATCAGTGTGTGTGTATATATATAGTTAGTTATTTGATTAAGTTTTGGTAATTATCTTTTTTTCCTTCTTCAGAACTATGATGCTGCTGTTGGTGACATCACGATTATTACAAATAGGACAAAGATTGTGGATTTTACACAGCCTTATATGGAATCAGGTCTTGTTGTTGTTGCTCCAGTTCAAAAGGCTAAACTTAGCCCTTGGGCTTTTCTTAAACCTTTTACCATCAAAATGTGGTGTGTCACTGGTGGATTCTTTCTTTTTGTGGGAGCAGTAGTGTGGATTCTGGAGCATCGTTTCAATCAGGAATTTCGTGGTTCTCCAAGTCACCAACTTATAACTATTTTCTGGTTAGCGTTTTAACTTAAAGTCCTCTGATTTAATTAGTGTTGATGAATGTCTCACTAGTGGATCAGGCAATTACCTGAGAGCCTCCAAAATTCCTTGTTAGATGTGTGACCCAATGACATATAACTCCCTATGAAAATCATGATTATAAAACTTTGCATATGCATTTTTTGTTATTACAGAAAATCAGCATGTGCTCAGATGTTAATTTCGCCATATTGAACTTTGTAAACCATAATGGAAGAAAACCTTTGAATCTCATAACTTCCAATTAAAATATATCAACACCAATTGCAAAGAGTCCTGCCTAACTGTCATACAGCTTCACTGCACCATATGCCATTAACAGCACCTATTTTGCATTTGCTAAATCTGTTCCAGACAGATGTTTTTAGTAACATACGCTTTGTCGGCTCTGCTTTATGTAAGAGTTATTCTGAAATTGCTTCTACTTTTGCAGGTTTAGCTTCTCAACGATGTTTTTCTCACACAGTATGTAGTTCATGCCTATTCTATCGTGCTTTCTTGTCTAAACAGGATATCATCCTTTTGAGTTGGTGATCTAATATTTGAAAATCCATAATATAAACTGTTTAACATGCTTACTGCTTGGACTTGATGCAGGGGAGAACACTGTGAGCGCCTTGGGACGGCTAGTGCTGATCATATGGCTGTTTGTTGTGTTGATTATCAATTCAAGTTATACAGCCAGTTTGACTTCTATCCTGACTGTGCAGCAGCTGACATCACGAATTGATGGGATTGACACCTTGATTTCTAGTACTGAACCAATAGGAGTCCAAGATGGGTCATTTGCATGGAACTATCTGATCAACGAACTCAACATAGCAGAATCCAGACTTGTTGTGTTAAAAAGCCAAGAAGATTATTCTCGTGTCCTTCAACTAGGGCCAAAAGGTGGTGGGGTAGCTGCAATTGTTGATGAACTTCCTTACATTGAATCCTTCTTGTCTCGAGCCAACTGTGTATACCGGACAGTGGGGCAGGAGTTTACAAAAAGCGGATGGGGATTTGTAAGTATAGACATTTCAACTTTTTTGTCTACACCCTAGTTAAACTAAAGCTGATCTAGTCATTTTTGCAGCAATGACACTATGCTGGCTACTAAAAATTTGATCAGATAATATTGCATAATATTGCCAAACATTGAAATGTTTATGAAATGTATTGGTCGCAAATCTAATCACGATGTTGGTCTTAACGTATAAAGTTAGCTAAAAACTTATTTTTTTCCTTACACTGACTTTGATTTAGACATATATATTGCTTGCAGTGTAACATGAAAAGAATTCTCAAGCTTTTACAATATGGTCCACTTTTCATGCATCTTCAATTTTCTTGTATCAGGCATTTCAAAGGGACTCTCCTCTTGCAATCGACTTGTCAACTACCATTCTTCAACTCTCAGAAAATGGTGATCTCCAAAAAATACATAATAAATGGATGACATATAATCAGTGCTCTATTCAACTGAGCGATGACGACGGTTCAAGTGGACAGCTTTCTCTGAAGAGCTTTTGGGGATTGTTCCTTATTTGTGGCATTGCATGCGTCCTTGCTCTTATCATGTTTTTCTATAGGGTCTGTTGTCAGTATCGCAGGTTTAGCCCGGACGGTGAGGAGAATGTCGAGGTTGAGGAGATTGAACCTGCCAGGCGTAGACGTACACTACGCTCATCAAGCTTCAAGGACTTGATTGATTTTATAGATAGGAGAGAAGCTGAAATTAAGGAGATTCTGAAGCGGAAGAATAGTGATAACAAACAACATGCTGGCCAAAGCTCTGATGGGCATTCCAATGTTAATTCACCGGCTTAGCAAAAAGTTGACAAACAACGGTTTAGTGGGTTGCTTGCAGTGCTCCTCATTGTTAATTTTACAGTCACATACAAGTTCATCTATACTGATTCATTTGCTCTTACTTCAAACCCAAAGATTAGGATGCTAGACTGAAAGTATTCACATCGCTTGTAGAAAAAAAATAAAAAATAAAAGAAAAAGAAAAAAGAGTTAGAAAATCTTCTCTAGTCATCAACCATTTTGTATTACACAATGATGTTTGTAGTCCTTACAATCATTGAAGGATTGGAGCTTTTTAATATGTATAGTTCTTCAGTTCTACCATACCTACATTGGTTAAAATGGAATTTTTTTTTTTTCCTTTAATGCTTTGAATTCTTGCTCATTTCAGTATATGGTAATTCTCTATTTTTGTTGCCTTTTCTTTTTATAGAAATGAACAAAATAATTCTTTATTTTATTTTATTCTTTCTTTTTGTGACATTCGTTTCCAATTCTTCCTCTTTCTTTAGGATAATTTTTTTAAAATAATCTGCGTTCTTATCCATTAAACAAATTTTATCCAAAAATGTGAAAGAAAAAGCAAAAGGTTCAATCAAGTAATTCGTGGCATTAACCGATCCTTGAGTGGCTGAGTGATTCTATAGGAACTCAAAGGATATCTTTCTGTTATGCCTAAAGAATCAGGGCTGACGTAAGGCCAGTCAGCATGCAAAAGTTAGAGCATGGGTATACCCGCAGCCGAGTCACGTGAGAAAAGGGCAGCATGCTCCAATCATCTGCAGTGGGTGTGCGCCACCCAGTTAGGAGCTGGAAAGCTTCCACATGTCCAAATTCCTGCACCAAATTGCGTAAATCACTCTGGAAGGTGGGCAAGGGATTAAATGAAGATTTGTACGGATAATCCCACCAACTCACAGATTCAGTAATAATAACCTTAATCCATCCCACTATAAATTGAGGGCTCCTCTCTCATTTGGGGGATTCGCTTATTCTACTTTTGATTAGCTACTATCTCTCAAGAATATAGCATTCTCTCTCTTGTACATCATTTTGTAAGTCAATCTGCTAAAGCGACCTGACCTCTATCATTAATACAAACATCAGTGGACGTAGGACTTGCTTCCTGGCATCCGAACCACTTTAAAAACTGTTCCCATTGCATTTACTCTCATTTTCTCTTACATTCATGTTTGCCTTCTGAGCCAGCTCAGCATTTCACACGTGCGTTTCGTTGGTGTCAAAATCACGCATCAACAGTTTGGCGCTAGAAGGAGGGCCTGATTTAGTGTTCATCTTTCATCAGGAGAATCTCTAACTTACTGGTCCTACAACAGCAAATGGCTCGCCAACCTGAACCTGAGCGAACCAACCAGGGTGCTGAAGGGATCCCCTAAGTCCAGGAGGACACCTCTTCGAAAATACCTTCAGTTTCGCAAAATGCCGCGGGGGATATCCCATCAAGTTCACAACTTGACCCTGCCATTAGAAGCTACCTGGAGAGGTTCGACAATACTCTCCAGATGGTCAACCGAAGGTTGGACCGTTTGGAGTGCAACCGCCAAAAACACCTGCAGGTTGCACGAAAGCACAGCAAAGGGAGATAGCCCGTGCCGCGAGCACTGTAGCGCGTCGGAGAAAGGGAAAGCAAGTGGCGAAGAATGGGCCTAAGGGCTCCAAAGGGATGGCGAACATTGACCACGTCCCAAGTAGAATACCCATGGCGTTGAGACTCGGTGAAAAGTCACAAGCCGAGCCGTCCCATGCCACGTCGCATGCACACCCCCATAAGAGTGCTGGGCGGGGCGATTCTTATCATCGCCAGCAAAATGACCCTAGTCGTCATCGTGCGGGAGATTCTCACACTTCGCGGGGCAGTTTGTACCACCACGAAGGTCGTGATAATTCCCCGCACCATTCATCGCCATCACACGCTCTAGCCAACTTGTGTCGAGGGCGGCCAGAACTGCCGGCCTAGGCGAAGCGGAATCCGACCTCTGGACTTTTCTTAACTGCAACCGCGAAGGTCGGACTCGCATGGGAGAAAGCAATCTCTAGATAGCTCCACTGCCTCAGATTGAGGAGTTACAGCGAGCTCTAGACCAGCTAAGAGCTCAGCAAAACGAGTAGGGGCAGGTCATGTCTGCGTCCTCTTTTTCTCCGGTAATGTTAGCCGCCCCACTCCCATCAAGATTTAGAATGCCCGACATGCGAGCGTTCGATGGAAATTCTGATCCGCAGGATCATTTATATGAATTCAACGACCTGATGGAGCTTCACCAAGTCTTAGATCTAGCAAAATGCCGTTGTTTAGTAGTAACTTTGACCTCTCATGCCAAACAATGGTTCAGGTCGCTCCCAGCAGGATCGATCAGCTCTTGGTCTCAAATGAGCGCGACATTCATGGGGCATTTCCAAGCAAATCGAAAGTTCTCGATGCCTTTGAGCTACCTCAGCAACATAAGGCAAGAGAGGGATGAATCCCTCCAATTGTACATTGATCGATTCCACAGAGAGCTTAACAAGGTAGTTCACACTCCCGAGGAGTCTGTTCGGACTCTCATCATAGCGGGGGTTCGCCCACAGACCGATTTGTGGAAAGAGTTACAGGCTGAGGATGATGTTTCCCTCACCCATTTCTATAACCTTGCGGATAAGTACCTCTATATTGAAAGTTCTGTGGCGGCGCTTCGTCGCTGCGACCACGACGTTTCGGGTAGTACGTCTGGTCGGAAGGACAGGAGAGTTGATCGCAGATGGGCTACTGATGATAAACGAAAAGGAAAGAAACCGCGCTATGAGCCCAAAAAGTCTTATGCTCCTGTTCCTCATCGCGATCGCGATAGAAATCAATATACGCCTCTGAATGCCTCTGTATCGGCTATTCTTGACAAATCAGAAGAAGCCAGCCTGCTCGGAGAGCCTGAGCCCATGAAAAATCTCCCGTCAGCTAGAAACAGTAAAAAGTACTGTCGTTACCATCAGGATAATGGGCATCACACCGATGAGTGCCAAGCTCTCAAGTTGGCAATCGAAGACCTTATCAAGCAGGGGCATTTTAAGGAATATATTGATGACTGCACTCCTGTGCAAGATAAAAGTCAAAGGGAACCTGGAAAGAAGCGACGTGATCGCAAAGAGGTATGCAGCCTCAATTTGATCTTCAGAGGACCGCACTTCGCGGGGAACTCGCGAGGCGTCCTGGAAAGGTATGCTCGCATAGCTCATCACGACCCTATCAGTGTAATGAGCGTGTTGCAGCGACCACAGAATGTTCGCAGGGAGGAGGAAATTACCTTCTCCGAAAAGAATGTAGTCCGACTGTATCATCCCCACGATGACACTCTTGTGATCACGCCCCTGACAGGGTGCCATAACACCCACAGAATGTTGGTGGATAACGGAAGTGCTGTAAACATCCTGTTCCAGACAACTTTCGAAAGAATGAACCTGGACGAGGCCGACCTGAAACCCACCTCGTTCCCTCTATACGGTTTTACAGGGGACCACCTGATCCCCAAGGGAACGATCTTGCTTTTAGTCACACTGGGTGACTTTGACGAGGTGACCAAGGTAACTGAATTCTTGGTAGTGGATTGCCCATCCGCTTTTAATGATATCTTGGGGCGACCTCTGCTAAGAAACTTCAAGACAGTCACTTCGATATACCATCTGAAGATGAAGTTTCCCATCCCGACAAGGATAGGGGAAGTCAGCCGATCTCAGCGCGCATCTCGCGATTGTTATATGAAAGCAGTACAGATGGCGTACAAAGGGAATGGTATCTTGCATGGCATTCCCCGACAGTCTATGGCGATCAGCCGGATCGAGCCACAGCCTGGTCTAGCCGAGGATAATATGGATCCTTGAATTCAAGAAAACCCTTCCAATGGGCCAGTTGAGGATCTGTCCGAAGTGTCGGTCAACCTGGGCTAACCGAGTCGAGTGTTAAGGATTAGGAGCAATCTCAACCCCTAGCTCGCCTCTGAGCTGATCAGCTTCCTCAAAGAAAATATCGATGTGTTCTCCTGGTCACACGCAGATATGGTCGGGATCAGCCCGGATATCATCTGCCATCCATTGAAGATCGACAGCGAAGCCAAGCCAGTTCGCCAAAAAAGAAGAGCAATGGATCCGGACCGATACGTCGCCTTAAAGCTAGAGGTGGATAACCTATTTCGAAACGGGTCCATCCGAGAAGCACTCTACCCGACCTGGGTTGCCAACCCTATTCTGGTAAAGAAGCCCAATGGCAAATGGCGAACATGTGTCAAATTCACCGACCTCAATAAAGCATACCCAAAAGATAGCTTTCCCCTGTCCACAATCGACCAGCTCGTGGATGCCACCTCGGGGCACGAGCTGCTAAGTTTTATTGATGCATACTTGGATATAATCAAATTCCAATGTACGCGCCGGACGAAGAGCATACATCCTTTGTTACAGATCGGGGACTATACTGCTACAGAGTTATGCTCTTCGGCCTAAAAAATGCTGGCGCAACCTACCTGCGGTTGGTTAACCGGATGTTCTCCGAACAAATCGATAAGTCAATGGAGGTCTATGTAGAAGACATGCTGGTGAAATCTCATGCCACTTCAGATCACATAGTGCACCTCGCCGAGATGTTTGATATCCTTCGACTATATGAAGCTAAACCCCCTCAAGTGCTCGTTCGGAGTATCCTCAGAAAAATTTCTGGGATACATGGTTAACCAACGGGGAATAGAGATCAACCCTAAGAAAATTCAAGCTCTTCTCGATATGGCAAGCCTAACCAGCAAAAAACAGGTCATGAGCCTTAATGGGCAAATAGCGGCGCTAAGTCGCTTCATATTGAGGTTAACAGATCGTTGTTTGTCATTCTTTAATGTTCTGAAGGCCAATAAAAAGTTTGAGTGTACTACCAAGTGTGAACAGGCGTTCCAAAGTATTAAAGAACACCTCGGGAAGCCACCTCTCCTGTCCAAGCCTCTCCCGCAAGAAATCCTCCTCCTGTACCTGTCTGTCTCTCAGTTCACGGTTAGTGCAACCTTAGTTTGGGAAGAGAAGAAAGTCCAATGGCCAGTGTATTATGCAAGCAAGCGTCTGTTGGATGTCGAGATGTGGTATCCGAAAATGGAACGGTTAGCCTATGCCCTACTGATCGCTTCCAGAAAGCTACGACCTTACTTCCATGCCCATACAATCTACGTAATGACTAATTACCCACTCAGACAGGTCCTGCAGAAGCCGGAGGTGTCAGGTAAATTACTTAAATGGGCCATGGAATTAGTTTGATCTGAAGTACAGACCGAAAGCAGTGATAAAAAGGCAGACTATTGCCGAATTCATATCAGAATTTTCACATCATCCGACAGATGAGT